TATAATACATAATAAAGTGTAGTATACCTTATCGTTCCATATACGGATTCACATATACATACACAGACATACATACATACATACATACATACATACATACTTACATACTTACATACTTACATACTTACATACATGCATACATGCATGCATACATGCATGCATGCATGCATGCATGCATGCATACATGCATACATGCACACGTAAATCCATACATAGATACCTACCTACCTACCTACCTACCTACCTACCTACCTACCTACCTACATACATACATACGTACACACATACATACATACATAACTACATGTAAATAGATAGATAGAAAGACACGTAGAGGTAGATGGATGGATAGATAGACAAAAAGAAAACTAGAGGCAAATAAATAGATAGATAGACAGATAGATAGATAAGAGAGAGAGAGATGGATAGACAGATAGATAGATAGACTTGTTTGCCACTCGCGCTCGACCAGATAAATAGACTTAGACAGATAGATAGATAGGTAGATAAACAAACAGACAGAGAGGTAGGTAGATAGATAGATAAGTACTAAGTAAAACAGAGTCGGTCTGTATGTAGGTATGTATGCAGGCATGCAGGCATGCACGCATGCCTGGTGTATGTATGTATGTATGTATGTATGTATGTATGTATGTATGTATACATGAACGTCGATAAATATGGCGCTATGTAGAGGTAGAGACACATATATCAATATGAGTAGAGAGAGAGAGAGAGAGAGAGAGAGATCGAGGTATAGAAATACAAGTGAATCTCTTCTTCCACTGGGCATGAGGGACGGTTAAAGTCCCTCGGCCACATGGGGGGCCACAAGTGAATCTCTCTCTCTCTCTCTTTCTTTCTTTCTGCAGGGCGTAGGAGTCCGCAATATGTATATATATATATATAGGTACACCAGTATGTACGCCCAGAAAAGACAATGGCCGGATGCAACTGAGGCACCCACGCCGGTAAACGGAACGCGAAATTCCACAGGCTGGACTCGCATAGGTTGTCGCTGCAAAGTTAGCGAGTAATCCTCGGCAACACGACCCTATGTTGACTTACGCATGACAGCTACGCTACAGCTAAGACACCGCAATTGGATGCCTAAACTGGGCCCAAACCGAAGCGAGGGGCCGTCATGGCTGATCCTTTCACAGAGGCCCAGCGCTGGAACCTCACGTTAGCCCAGGTACCAGGTCGGCCAGGGATCCAGCGGGCAGCATCTGCCGGCACACGCACGGACTGCCCGTCAACTTCAACCAAACGGTCGCCGACCTCGACACCTGCATCTGAGGCTGAGCTGCCAGGGACCACGGCCACAACTTCCGGAGATCCACCTCTTCCGCGAGTGGTGTCTTGCGCAAAAGCCACACCAATGCCGGCAACATCGCCTCCTTCGGCAACCTCTGTCATCTCAGTCCACTCCTCAGGCGGGTAATACTGAGCATAGGGATCTCCAAGCTTCTCCAGCAGACGGTCAGCAGCATCGATGAGCCGTTTGGATGTGTGCTCACGACCGTCCCAAGTGGGATTCACACCGAAGTTGCTCAGGAGCGTATCGCCCAGCCACTGGAATCCATCTTCCCACCGGGTGGCTCTAAGATCCCTCAACCCTTCCAGCAGAGTCTCCTCCCACTCATCTCGACCACCGGCTTTGGCAAGCTCGGCATCAAGCCCATACATACACGCTGCAGTCCTCAGGGGCTCACGGAAAACTTGCACACACTTGGCAAACCTGCTTTCAGCCCCGAACAACACACCCTCTTGATGCAGGCTGTGGCTTGCAGCAAAATCGTAATGCTCAATCGAAGGCTGAGGACAGTTCGTTTCACAGACAGCCCATGTCACAGAAATCTGCACTCTTGTCGGCAACGGTTGCCTTTTGCAACCGGACCAACCGACGGAGGCTATCGAGGCTTGAATTTGCATCGGCCATCTTGGCCAGACTCTCTAAAACCGGACCATGCCTGGCCTTGAAAGCTTGAAAGCCAGCAGAGAGCTCGGTCACTATCAGCAACCGCTGGCCGGACTCGTCTAAACCAGCAATCACATCCTCTGAATCAATCTGTGTAAAGTCAACGCCTGCCTTACACAAAGCTGCCACCAGGCTTTCCCAGCCAACAGCCGCCCCCACAGGCAGGGAGGCCGAACCAGGTGAGAATTCTAGAAGCACGTGGCTCAAGTCAACCGAAGCAGCAAAGCAGGCCCTGAACAAATCTTCTGCATGTCTTCGCAGAAGCCCCCGAGAGCAGCGCAGCATTGTGAGGAAGGCTCTGTAAGAGGGATTCTGATTTCTAGCAGCCAGGAAGGAACCGGCCAGGATTTCTGCAACGTGGCGCGGCACCCTCACGGAGTTCAGGACCCGAACAAGGCCTGCAAGATCTGCCTGAGCATCCATTCCCCTTTCATGCGCAGAGACGGACAACTCAGAGTCTGAAAAACCGCCCGCGGAAAGACCGCACCGGTAGACAGCTGCTCTGACCTCGGATCGAAACTCGGAGACCCGGGCCAGTTCCGAATCGCTCCGTTGCCGATCGAGATGGCCACAGAACCGCCTGAAGTCTGCGTAGGTGATAACACCCCGATCCGTCGGGTCACAAAGCACCAGAGCGTCGCTGACGGACTTGGCCAGAACAGAGGGCCATGCCTTCAGCTGGCACACCACGTCCTTGCTGACGTGCCCCTTCGCAGAGACATCTAGGCAAGCGAAGAGGACGTAACTTGGCAAGTCCAACCTGCTCAGCTCACTGACTTCGAACTCGCCGTGGATAGCAGGTGCAGGCACCGCATGCGAGAAGGAACGTCGTCGCCATGAGTCGTGACACTGAAATAGAGCATCTGAGTCTAGCAAGCCCGAAGAGGCCCACCTCCGGGCGACCTCCAGCACGTCGGCGTTGGCCATCGCGATGCCTGCGCCTCGCACCGCGGCAAGGAACTGGTCCAACCGCAGGAAACGGCCCCCTTCACCTGGACATCTGTCACGAGGTCGGGAATGAAAAGCTGCGCCCTGATCCCTCAAAGACCCATTCGGCTTCGTTATCTTCAATTTGCGAGATCATTGTACAAGAATTGCTTTCAATGTGAAGCTGGTCATGTGGAGGACCCCGAAATGCCTTAAACCCGAGCCAAATCACCCCACACTCTTTAGAGTTTAGGGCATCGCAATGGTAGTGTGAGTCTGTGAATCATCTCACTGTCTTATTTAGCCACGAACAGTAGCCAGTATAGTAGCGATAAACAAGTAATGGAACAGCAAAGCCCGGCCCAGCCACCGAGCATTGCGCAGGACTCCTTCAGCCGACTTTGCAGCTCTTTGGGTCCCAGCTTGGCAGACAAAAGTGCCGCAAAGAACTCCTGGCTTCTTGAGAAGGAACTTGGTCCAAATTACCAACATACCAGAGGGTACTCTTTACTATACACATATTACATACCTATCTATCTGCCGACATCTCGATCTCTTTCGTTATAGCAGAAAGAGCCCAGACTCCTCCTCACTGTGCCGGGCGTGGTCCCTTGGATGTGCTTTCGACTGGATATTTCAACCAGATTTCTATGTATCGGGTTTCGGGTTCAGGGGCTGGTTTCCGTGTAGGCTAAGACACAAGGCCACTAGGTCCGCACTAGGTTCAAGTTGGCCCGTACTTCCGGCGAAGCTCGATGTTCCAGATCTCTGACGCAGTAATTTGCAGTACCAGCCTTGCCCCATCTTGCCCCCACATGCTAAGCTACGAAACTCCGACAGAAAGGGAAGCTACAATACTTACCTCAAGGTCCAAGTATCGGGTCCGGCGACGAGTCGCTGAGAGCCATTGCTTCCTGGATCGTCGCCTCGCGGACACGAAGCTCTGACTTCTCCAGCTGCGCCAGGCTCCTTAAACTGTCTGGTGCTTAGTAGGGAATGGGGGAGTGGATCCCTATGATAGTCCCTTAAGGTCCCTTATAGTAGTCCCTATAACCCATTCCCCCATTCCCTACTAAGCACCAGACAGTAAAGCAGCAGCTGCCGGTGATGCAGATGTCTGGAGGCGCAGAGTCTGCCAGGCCTTCACGACTTCGAGGATTCCGGTTGTATCGGTTTCCAGGATGCCAGCCAGGATGGCTTCTTCGGAGCCCTGAGAACACCACAAGGAGGGCTGGTTTCTCGACACCTGGGCGTTTCCGAAAATAAGGGAACCCTAAAAAAAAGTACCCCAACTAGTGGGATTCGTATAATATAAGGACCCCAAAATAAGGTACCCCCTATTTTCGGAACTCCCGGACCTCTTTGGCTGCCGCATCCAGCAACTGGGCGGCCTCCTGGAGGCGAACCTCCCCCGCCCGAAGCAAGCAGAAGAAGGCAGACAGCAGCTGCCTGGCCGCCGGCAGCGAGGGCGCTCGGAAAGGTTCATTCCTATCAGCCTCCTTCGTCGCCTCCTTCGTCTCTTTGGCGAATCTCGGCTCTTCTGCTTTGCGCAGCGTCTCGGCCCTGCGTGCTACAAGCTTGGCCAGCGGCCGTGCTGGCAGAACACCAGCAGAGCTTGGGTCCAGCAGGCGCAACAGCTCATCCATCAAGCCCCAGCGTGGACCCCTCGAAGCATGCTGCGCGAGGGCGGCAGCTAGCTCTCCATGACGAAGGCTCGCTTCCACGCCCAAAGCTGCCAACTGCTCTGCGAGCTTCCCCAAAGCATCACAGCCCACCTCCTGCTGAAGCAAATCAAGCGCAGCTTCAAGGCGAGCAGACACCTCCAAGACAACGCCTTTCCACAAGTCGGTGCTCACCATCCGCTGCCCGCACTTGGCCTTACTGGCCAGCAGCACTGCATGCTTGGGTGTCAAACCTTCGACGGCCCGCATCAGAGCCTCGCAGAGTTCGTCGAGCTCAAGAGTGCTCAGAGGGCTTCGCGCACTTCCAGGCTTTTGATGCTGCCTGCGGGCTTCGGCCAAGACCTCGTCTGCCGATACGCCAGCGGCGACCAGCCAGAGACATGAAGAAGTCTCGTCCCGAGCAGTGCCAGGAAGAACCTGATCGAAGGAACTCACCAAAGTTCTTGCAGGTGCCGGGTCTTCGACCGCGCCGATCGCTGCCTCAACAGGGCCTTGCGACGCTTGCGGCGGTCTTGCCTCGGGCTTTGGGGCAGGCATGCTCGGAGAGTAGGGTGGCTGGGCCTTTAACGCCCCAGCTGGCCCGGCATGGAGAGCAAGCTTCATGCGCCCAATTACACGGCCAGAGGAGACCGAGCGGACATCCACATCTTGGCACAGCAAGAAGATTGGGGGGCCTTCCGAAGGTGGTAGCCCTGTGGCCGGCAAGGCCAGCCCCGCCAGCCCGAAGAGTTGCTTTCCCTGCCAGAAGTGAAAATGCATGGAGCTGAGCCTCGGAGCATCGACCCTCCCGTCGCGCAGCTGCCACACTGGCGTGGAGGAAACCTCCGCTGAACCCAACAGGTAGCTGACAGAATCTGAATCCTCTTCCTGCAAAGAGGCCGCCACACTTACTTCATCTGCAGGGCCAAAGCGGAAGGCCACACGCAAATCATCTGCTGATTTAGAGTCCATGGCTGACCGCTGCAACCGAAGTCCGCACAAATGTACCTGCAAATGCGCACCAACCACGGCAGAAGGTACCAAGACTGGTCCGGCCCTCTCTGCATCACGCCTGGCCGCTCGACTGCGCTCCTCTGTGAGCCTTGCTTGCCACTCGTGCTGCTCGAAGGATCGTATCGCCTCGGCTTTTGGCCGCAGCTCGGCATCTTCAGCCCAGTCGGTGCGAAGGCAAATCCGAAGCTGGCCAACCATCACCCGATCAGAATGGCTCCGCACCACTGGGAAGAAGCCCTCCACACGCAGCGCGTAGTCCACATCCGGTCCACGCAGCCAGGGTTGCAGGTCGATCTCACTCAGGCCGACCGGATCACCAGCCAGGGTCCCCGAAGTTGTGATGCCATACAAGCGGATGCAGAGGGTTTTCATGTCCTGCAAGTATGCCGTGAAGCTCTTGGGGGAAGCCTGGATAGGGAACTCGACTGTCCGGAAGCCGCTTAGCTCGTGTCCGGCGCGGGCCGGGTGGCTCCACAACTCGAGTGGGGGCATGGCTCCGGGCTGGTCTGGGTCTTGTCCCCACCAGTCCAGCACGCCCACGAGCTCACTAGGGATGTCTGCCGGCCTCTCTGGCAAGAACTCATACAGCTGGACCTGAAGGGCCTTAGCACTGGACACTGCCGCAGCCTTTCAACAACAGCTTTGGCCAAAAATACATACTGGCATGCATACATGCAGACACCTTCTGGCTCATGCATGCATGTCAAAGTAATCACATACACTAACTTATCATTACAACCGTCCCTGCATACAGAAACAATCCCATGCCGGACCGAGTGACTCCCTGCAAGGTGCCCGGCACATGAGGAGGGAGACTCGGCCAGCTCCCGCGCATCCCATGAGAAGCTGCTTTTTGGCTGTGGCGCGACGTTGAGGGCCTATAGTAGATGAGGTTTGAGGACATAGGCGGTTTCCGCGGCAATCAAGGCTTCTACAAGAAGGGCTCAACGCAACCGGGTTTGCTTTGGAACTTGTACCGATTGTGTCGACGCTTCGTCGTCCAGATGTACATGTCACATGCTGCGGTTACGCGTGTGCGAGGCAATTGGGCCGCCTGAAGAGCGAGCTACTCAAGCCTTTAACGACCTTAACGTGTGGTTTGGGTCTTGGTGTGTAGATCACAACCCTTTTTGAACCGATCAGCTGGGAAGCAGCAGTGCGTTAAACCCTTTTGCTGCAGGCTTGCAAGCAAGAACGCCTAGAAGGTAGCCACTCTTCCGCCAAGAAGACCCTAAAAGCCTAAAGGCCCAAGTCCCTAATACCCTAAATCGCCAGAATCCCTAATGCTAAGCTCTTAGCTCCAGAGCTCCTATTAGTACCACCCTTGCAGCCCACCATGTTCGACGCGCCCGTCCAGATCTGCAGGAGAACTTGCCTCGCAAAACCGCCGCTTCTGACCGAGTCGTGTTAGGGTTTAGGGTTTAGGGTTTTTCCCACTGGGTTTAGGGTTTAGGGATGTTTAGGGTATGCAAAATCACGAAGCAGTAATCAACCAAGCTGCTCTTCATCGGGCAGGTCTGCTTGATTCCGTGGTGACCCCGGCGCTTCAGCAACGACACGCTGAACCGTCTGTTTCACCTTACTTCCACACTCTCAAGCTGTGAGCCAGCATCGGAATGATGCAGTTCCTGGATTGCTTTCTGACAAGACGCTCATGTCAAAATTTGCTGGTTGCTGCTTGAGCCTGAGGCTGGGGCAAACTCGGCATTGTTTCGCGGTCGCAGAGTCCAGGCAACCTTTGACTGTAAGATGCCTCCCTTACACTTGTTCAATGTAAGTTCATGTATTTAAACTCCTGTGGTCGCCGAGACACTGCGGATCGGCAGCAAGTTGCGGCAGCTACAGCTCCTCGCTGCTTCGGAAGGCTTGAATGCAATCTGCCCACACCGCAACAAACAACATCGGCACAGCCCCCGCCCCTGATGACGGCAACACCTTTTGGCCAAACTGCACAAGATTGCACAAGATCAAAGTCAAGTCAGGGAGCTGCAGAGCCGCCTTAATTATTCCCGGCAATGCCAAAGACAGCGCGAGACCAAGAGGAAAAGGCGACCGTGTCAGAGGCTAGCAGGCCTCGAGATGCGAAATTGATGCCTTGTGAGCTAAGGGAGACCACCACTCCGTCTATGCGGGCAAATCTATGCTAATCTGGCGTGCACATACGACTGCCGAATTTCTGCGCTTACTTGCGGGACCATTTCCAAATAAGCCAGTCGTTGCATCCAATCTGAAAAGATGGCCGGAGCTCATCAAAGGCAAGGTATCCGACAGCTTTCAGTGCACAGGCACAGAAGCTGACGCATCCGACGGTGAACACCAGAGCGACGGTAATCTTCTCTGAGCGCTTGACAGGGTTATCCAGTCCACACTCTAGGTTGTCTGCCGCTCGTCGGTGGAGGACCCTCCAGTAGAGGACCGCTGGATAGATCTGAGTCACCCAGGGTGTAGTCAGAGCTGTGACGAAATCCAGCAGCGTGTTGATACTGGGGGTGAAAGTGCTGAGAAGCAATGCGGACAAGAAGGTGGGCAACGAATAACCCAAGTATCTCAGAATATCTGGCATTGTCCAAGTATCCTTGAAGTTTGGAGCCCAACTTCTCTGGCAGAACCGACTGAGCGGAACTGAGTCCAGCATGTACGACACAAAATTGCCGCCCAGCTGAAAGGCATTGAAGAGAGTATTGATGACGTCTCCTTTCACGAATGCGCCAACACCTGTTGTGATGGCGATGACTTCGCCGACGTTGTAGCCCCAGCGTGCCACGACGGTAGTGCCAACAATCCTTACCGCGTGTTCGGGCCATGATTGGGGAAGACTTCTTCGACCGCTCGTGGCATGCCACACATGACCCTCAAGTGCACCCGAGCAGCACGAAGAGTATCACGTTGAGGCTGCCGGCCAGCAGCAGGGATTTCTTGAAGTCGGCGGGGTTTCGCATGCAAGTGCTGAGCTCGACGGTGAGGAAAGCAGGAATGAATGCCCACGCACCGATCGTAAAGCCACTGGCAAGCCGTATGAGTCTCAAGCCTGCATTCGGCTCTGGGTTACCAAACCACTGTGCGGGGACTTTGGGAGTGTGATCATACTGGAAGGCACCGATCACCATTGTGATGACCATGCCGACGACACAAAGAAAGGAAATCACGGTAAAGCCCTGAACGTTGTTGAAGCTCCTGACTTGCGTAGTGAGCAAGCAGATGCCTGCAATCACCCACACGTAGTAATCAATGCAATTACCCAGCGGACCAAGCGTGCCAATGGAATACAATGATAGTGCACAGAATCGAAGAGCACAGGGCATGAAAAGGCAGAAATTCCCGAGCTGGATCACGTTGCCCCACACTTGTGCGGGCCTGCCAATCACTTCCAAACCAAGATCTCCGAAGGTCTTGCCTGGGCCACTTGGGGTCACTGCCGTACTTCTTTCAGTCATTTTCTTTTTGTTAATGTACGGAAATGTTACGTCCAACTTGGGCCAAGGGACAGTGCGGGTACAGCAGCTTCATCTCCAGGAGCATGTTGGCTCCAGCAACTGAAGCCGACGTAAGGATGATGCATAGAGCCATGCCGCCGGCGTAGCCGGC